TTTAAGTATTTGTTTTTACATTGTATTTCATATTGATTCTATGATAATAAAATTGGAATTACAAATACAATTGTGTGATCATACTAATGCACTCATTATCTAATCAATGTCTCGATTATACATAAATATTTTCTATACTTATTATTTTCAAAAAATTATCAATATACGAGTTAGAATTTAATTAAGTGGCAAAATATTTGTTTAATTGTGTTTGAAAATCATTATGCTTCAAATGACTTTTGAAAAAAATTTTAATTACAAATACAAAAAGAATTTTAACATTAAAAATAAAAATTGATTTTAAATACTTAGGTACCTGTTCTCATTCAAACGCAGTAAGTACCCAATAAGCTAGTATAGATCATAGGACAAGTGTATACAAATACATATACTTATATAAATCTATCTTGAGCTATTTTTATCAAAAATTTTTCATGTATATGACTAAAATTATACGTTGACCTTACGTTGACATAAAAAGAATGGACATATGGTTCACAATTCCTATAAAATTTTTTTTTATATTTATTGCTTATACATACTTACGAGTATTTTGTTTGTATTAAAAATAGAATCATAAATTGAGTTTAAGGGTTTTAATATACTTAAGTTAATATGAAAGAGTTTTACAGTCAAATATTTATCATAATAAATTTATTTTTATTATTTGTTGTTGCTTTTTTTTTATCTTGTTAACTTGAAATAAAAATTTTATGACCTTATACATATAAGCATAAATTATCACATAGGTTGATATTTAATTTTGGAAAATTTGCTACTACTTACTTAATTTACAAAATTTATTTTTAATAAGTTTGAAAGTGAGGCTTTAATAGTAGGAATGATAATTAAATTTTATAAAATATTCACAATTTCATAAATATGTCCACGCATGTAGTCAAAATTTTTCAAATTTTCTTCCACTTACCAGTTTTGGTTCTAATTTTTTAAGGAAGTATATGTAATACATACTTATAGTACGATTGTAATAATTCCTGATGGAAAGTTAAGTTTAATAAAAAATTACTTATAACGCTTTCGATTAAATAAGTAGATGATTTGTTCTTAATATTTAATTTATTTGATTTAGTTTAGAATTCATAAAATGCTTAAGTATTAAAAATGCCAAATTAAATTACTATTGCCCAATGTTTTCTCAAATTATAAAATTAGACTTTCAAGTAATTACTCTTATACTTAATGAATTTTCGAATATATTTAATGGACAGAAACAAATTTTATCTACATAAATAAGTATAAGATTTAGATAGGTGAAGAGGAGGTATTTTTTGCAATATTCTTTATGAAGGATTTATTTATTAGAGTTTTTAGAAAATGGTCATGTATAAACAGTTCTTATGCTAGCAATTTTACATGCGTATTCAATAAGAACATTAAATCAGTGAAAGAAATTGCGAAAACTGTCACTTTCAGAGAAGAAATACCATACTCGGACGACAAGGAGTTTTAAAAACAATCAGATTAAAAGTGTTAAAGAAAATCAGATTAAAAGAATTCCATCTGTAAAGTATCCGTAACAATTTCGTAGCTTTTGAAGCAAAATTAATGTTTTATTGGTCCTTTTTTTCAATTAAATGTAGGTCTGTCCATAACGATTATATCAATGGTTGACATCAGATTTATTACTTTCGAACAATGGTTTCTGAAACATGAAATTGTAGTTAGAAAACTGAAAAATTTAAAAAAAAACGTTATTTGCCTCAAAAAAGATTTCATTATCCTCTACAACTTGATCATAAATATTTTTTATGTCACACTTACCATTTGCCAGGTACAGTGATATTATAAATAAGTATGTTAGTTTTGGACAAGTGCGTTCCCATAGAAAACTTGATAAGTATGTAAAATTTGTCGCTATCACATAACCTACCTTATTGTATACACAATGCGGTTGGCAATAGTTATTACCGACACAATGCGGTCGTTTGAGTTTAAAAAAACTTTAATTAACTGATTTTACAAAATCATTTTCGGTACTTAAAGCTACTTATTAAAAAATCTCATTGACTAACTATATTATATTATAATAATCCTACCTATTTAAACTATACATAATGTAAGCACTTATATGAAAATAAAATCAATTGCATGAAGGTTTAAAAAAAAGGCCAATTGCCAAAATTTAACAGAAAATCGGGCGCCACAAATACTTTCACTTTAAATTTACATTTATGTGATGACATTTTAAAGTGAATAACAAATTATAAAAAAAAAAGTGCAAGAGTGTTATTGTTGCTGTAGGTACTGCAAAGAGCAATTTTTTATAGTGCAAGCAAGACCTTTAAATGAAACATAGGTTTACATTAGTAGGTATATACACACACACTAAAATACATTCATTGATTTTGAAATTTTTATTACATTTCAATAAGAATTATAAATGTCTTGATGTTTATCGATCATTTTTATATTACAAATTTGATTATTTTTATTAAGTATTATAAAACAAAACACCTTCGCCCTTTTTAATTTAAAAAAGGTTAATTCTTGTTTTTTTTTCGTTTTTTTTGGAATCTCTTACTGGTCTTAAAGTCAAAAGTTTACCTACACAAATTTTAATGTTTTCTTGTTATTTTAAATTTTTTTTGAATATGTACATACATAAGTATGTATATGTATGTGCTTTTAACATCTGTTTAAAATTCGAACAGTGTTTTTTGCAAAACTTTTGTTTTTTTTTTGTTTCAATGTGTTTTATTAATAATTTTTTATTTAAATGCTTTGGTAGTAGGTCCATTTTATTTGTTTTTTTGGTTTATGTTTTTCATTACATACGAAGCCATTATACCAAGTTGGGAAGTCAATAATAATAAAATAACACATTCCAAAACAATACGTAACACAATGGAATCATAATTTTCTTCTTATTATTTTATTAAATTTCCACTTAATTTCAATTTTTTTTTTTATTTTATTTCAATTTATACTTTAGTGCATATTTAAAATGAAGTTGAAGTATTTTTATTTGCTTTGTATTTTAAAAGTGACAAAAATCTTTGATATTATAATAAGTAGTGTATTGTGTATATTTATATGACTAAAAATATAAGAGAGAAAAAAATAAGAAAATAAATAACAAAGAAGTAATAATAACAATAATAATAAATATGAAAAAAAAAATACGTACAATTATACTTATAAAAAATTAAAAAAAAAAAAAACAATAAACAAACACTAAGATTTATGTATGTGGGAGGGCATCGCATCAGTTCTCAATGAATGAATATTTTGCGTAGCGTGAGATAAAAATATTTTTCTCTTCTTTTCTTCTTTTTTTTTGTGAAGTAAAAAATTAGTCCAACATCATAACTAAAGGTTTTCTGTTAACTATTTGTAAGTTTTTTTTAATATTCCACTTCTTTTTGTACTTTTTATGCTATTATGCCTTTTCTTTCCTTTATTTTTAATCTTAAAAATTTTGTAAAATGTAAAGTAGTTTAAGCTTTATATTCTTCTCATTTCTTTTTTGTATTTTTGTTTACATAACTTGGAATACACATAATTATATATATGTATATATTTATTTACCACAAAAAAATAAAAAAAAAACTTCAAACATACTTTATTGTGATAAGAACAATATAATATAAGCTTGTATATTTATGTGTGAGTATAAAACACATCCATAGATAACATAAGATGCAAAATTCGAAAATTAAAACTTTATTTTACTCTTATGTTGTTTACTTTACGTTTTTCATTTTACTCGTTAGTTTTCAAGTATAAATAAAACGCGAAATTAATATTTTTTTTTTTTTAAGAAGGTAGGTAGATAAGTTAGTAGGTAGATTAGTAAATAGTTACCAACATATACATTTTGTCTGTGAACTTATAATGTGGAATTATAATGTATACATATTGTATACATTTTGCATCTCTAAATTCTAATCCCTTACTACTTATTAAACTTATGTGCCTTACTACTTATTCAAAAATAATATTTTTATTTTAGAGATAATGTCCTTTTCAGTTCATAATCACCATTTAAATTGTAATATCAGAGAATTTGATTCTAAATTATTTTTTCTTCAAAATTCTAATTTGTATTCAACGTCATGGAATGCAACTACTTTTTTGGGTCCATAATTTTACTAAAATTATTATGCAAATTTAATTTTTTTTTTATTTCATTTCTTTAATCCCACCATTCTTTAATCGGTTATTCCTTAAAAACAAAAGTAAAAAAAATGAGAGAAAAAATAAATTTAAAAAAATTGAAATAATAATTAGGTATGTGTCATCATCTCCATGGTATGTTTAATATACACAAATGCCATATAGAGTAAGTAGGTACCTAACTACCTACCTACATATATACATATTATATGGACATTTCATTATTATATATGCATGTACATGTGTTAATATCTATATTATATAAGTTATACACAGCTATGTTCGTTTATATGTAGCAAGAAAAAGCACCTTGAAAAGAAACTTTTTATTTTTTATATATTTTTTATTTGCCATAATCAAGAATTTAAAATAAAGAAGCATAAAATCAAAACAAAAAAAAAAATCAGCAAAATTCCAAGTCCAACAGAGAGTTTAAAATTTAAAGATTTTATTGAAGTAAATTTTAATATGCAAAAGTGGTTATGTATTGATGTTTTCGGCTTTTTTCTTACTGAAATTTTGGTTTCGTCGTTATGCAAATAAAAGTTTATTGGAAGGATATTTTGACATCTTAAAATTTAGTGGATCTTAAAGTAGGAAGGTAGGAAGCTGGGTATATTTTCTTTTTTCTAAAATGTAAATATAAAATTTATAAATAACCAAAAATAAATTGAAGAACTCGAGTTTAGTATAAAATTTTCTTGATGATCAATTTATTTGGCAGATTTCAAATTATTTTTGAACTTTAGATTATATTTTTTTCTTAATATAAAAATGTAAGACATATTTATAATTGTACATACATATGTACATACTACATTATTTACTTATGAAAAAGTTGAAGTAGTCATTAAATTTCTTACCTTTTATGAATTTTTTATTTTTATATAGTTTTTGATTATATCAATTTGATATAGAGTTGCTTTTCTCAAATTTTCATGTAAAATTGATTTTATTGAAATTTTTCCTTTTCTTTACTTTTTTTTCTTTGTAATGGGGGGTACACTTGAATTTTTTTCTTTTGCGTTTTAAAAATTTTGAACAAAAAATTTTTATTGCTTAATTCTTGATAAAAACTTATTTTTGATATGATTTTTCATTTTTTTATTTTTTGTTGAAAAAAAAATATTTCGTATTTATTTTTAATATTTTTTTTTTGTAATATGATTTACTTTTTTTTAAAGTAAAATATTTTTTAATAAGTTTTCCTTATTTTATTTTTATTTCAATTTTTTTTCTTTCCTTTTGTATTTAAAAAAAAAAACTAGCCGAGAAAATTTTCACATCTTATTTCTTCATTTATAATTAAATTTTCATACACACTTCCATTATTTTACCACTTATTTTTAGAACAATAGTATACTTTTTTCGTTATTTATTATTTACATTTAATTTATTATGGAATATATTTCCTTCGAAAATCTAGGATATAAAATAATTATATATATATTTTTTTTAATATTTTTACTTTTCGGGATAGAAACTTTTTAACTTGCTGTCAAATCATGATCTCTCTACTTCTCCAACAACAACAACTAATCAAAAAGTATCAAATTGAAATTAAAAAGATTCCAAATTTTTTTGATTACTTTAAAAATTGATTACAAAATCAAGGTTATTCATATATGATTACATTTTGTCTAACGTTACATTTTTGTAAATAATATCAATTTCGATTTATTTTGGTTTTGATTTTTTTTTCTAAATTTTATATTTGTTTAGGAAATAATTTTAACAATATTAAGTTATAATTTTACTAATATCATGTAATACCCGCAATTTTATATTATTTTTGACAACATAAAAATTTTTATACAAAATAATAAAATGATTTTATGTTTATATGTAGTTGAAAAACAAGTACTTAAAAAGAGTACCAAAATATATGTATTCAAGACATATTTGTACTTCATTTGAGAAATAGTTACATTATGACAGTTAATATATTCATATAGTTTTGAGCTCTTTTAATAGAAAGAGAAAAAGTTTATATTTAGTTTTTGACTTTTATCGAGTCTTCATTTTGTATACTCTCGATTGTTAAAGTAAATGCCACATATAATTATAATCTGTTTTTTATATTTTGAATAAAATGATAACTCGAAAGCAAATTATATGCAATATGTATTCATATAAAAAAGACAATCGCATGGGATGGCTGTTTTTTTAAGTAATTTTTGTTTTAATGTCATTGGTTCAAGAAATATTTGAAAATGATGACAAAAAGTATAATAGCAATGTTTGATGAAAATATTTGAACAAAATTCATGAATAATATTCGGTGTTTGCAAGCTGCCTAAGCAGCTAAGTGGTAGAAAGCATTTAGAATAACGAGCAGAAAAATATTTATAAACTAAAAATAATTGTCTTATGCTTTTATAAAACTGGTTTACCTTCATTCGGAGGTAATTTTTTGTTTAAATATTATCAGAAAAAAATTATATTGATGAAACAGATTATACTATAAATTTCTTTATTAGGTAAGTACTTATTGTAAATACTACATACAAAATATTTTCGTAGTTCAATTCGGTTTTACCAGTTTCATGTTTTCATTCAGAATTCATCCGCCTTAACATAGTGACATTCATAGTGTGAATGTCAAATTTTAATTAAACTGCAAATTGAAAATTGTACTGCTAATATTATTAGTACATATTAGAGTCTCGATAATTTCGCTGTTAATGCCAAAGTCATCTGTTCATCGGTAATTGTCACCGTACCTATTCTATGTTTTCATTTTGATTGCTTTTAAATAGAAAAGATTTTATAAAATTTTTTTTGCGAAAAAATGGCTGGAGCAGGTCGTGAGGCTGTAAAAGCTGCTGTACGTCAAGTGCGGCCCATATTATCAGTAGACCGTGAAGAAGCCAAAAAAAGAGTTCTGAATTTATATAAGGCTTGGTACCGCCAGATTCCTTATATTGGTAAGTATTCAACAACAGCAGGTTATGTCTACTATTATGTCACCTCCTTAAAGAAATTTTCGCAATTTTCCTTCATAAATAAACAAGTTTTTTTATTATATATGCTTTGATTTTATTAATTAAGTATTTAAAATATAAAACACATAATATTGCTAAACTAATTACATACATACATACATACACAAGTTTTGAGAGTTTTGTTTGGATATTAAAAATTAAATGATTACTTCACGTCGTTAATGATATTTTGTTTTAGTAATGGACTATGATATTCCAGTATCTGTTGAAGATTGTCGAGCTAAACTTCGAGAAGAGTTTTCAAAGCAGAAACATGTAACAGATATTCGTGTTATTGATATGTTGGTTATCAAGGTAAAGAGTTGATTTAAAAATGGAAAAAATATGCAATCAAATATTCTATTTTTGATAGGGTCAAATGGAGCTTAAGGAAACTGTAAAAATTTGGAAACAAAAAGGTCATGTTATGAGATATTGGAAAGAAACTGTTGAACCTAAACCAACAGATTTCCTTTCGAAATTTATAAATAATCAAGTTTAAGTAAATAAAAGCAAAAGAAAACAGAGAAGTTTAGCAAATTAAAATGATTTTTGTTCGTTACAAAATTTTTTGTTTTAATTTGCGATAATATTCAAAATATTTAATGCGCGCGAACTACTATTGGTAGGTAAATTAATAGTTTTAAAAATGTAGTACCAGAGTATATAATTATATATATACCATTGAAATGTTTGGATTTTTCAAGACAAAAATTTAGCGAAAACTTATTATGTGCCGAAAATTGAAATTCAAAATTTCATATTCGAATAAAACGGAATTTCGTACAAGAGACTTATTTGTTTTTGCAATTTTTAATTCCATTTTCAAAAGATACAAAAATAGCGTGATTTCTTTATAATTTAAATATTAACATAATTTTTGATAACAGAAACAGTTATAAGTAAGTATATAACGTGTTTCGGCTTTTTAAGTTTTTAGAAACACAACAGAACCGTTTGGGCTTACTGCGCACAAATTTGGTCAAAATAATTGATTTCGAATTTGAATCAACAGTATTTTTTTATATTGATTAATTTGAAAATGTAACATTTATTATTTCCAAAAATTAGAAGCGTATGCCTAAATAAATAGTTTGTTCGTATATTCTTTGAAAATATTTTATTTTGTATAAGTACTACATGATCTTACATATAAGATATACATATGTATAGGTGTAACATCTTGCAGCATATATACGAGTATATTATTCTTCCTGAAAACCATTTCAATTCAGGTCTAATTAAATAGTTGTAAGTTGATACGTATTATTTATTTGAAGTAACAGGGTACGTAGTCATATTCATAAGTTTATATATTATTATCATCACAAGCACAACCGTTTTGATAATAGAGATTTAACAAAAGAGTAGTAACTATCAGTACTAGAATTATATTAATACATATTTTAAGACTTATACAATATTTGAATTCGTTTAATAGAAAATACAATATTTAATAACTAGATGCAAACATATTACAAAATAGATATTTAAACAAAAAAAATGGATGTTGACTCTGAACTAAAGGCGTAGTGTAAAGAATAAAAAACAAAAAAATAAATTAAATCAAAACTATTGTAATGTATAATCGAATAAAATCACTTGATGAATATAAATTAGAGTTATAGTTATACTGTATGTTTATGAATGAGATTTGATCATTGAAACGTTAATCTATTCGAGTATACTAATCTCTAGCTATATTAATATAAATATTTGTACTATGTACACATTTACCTTATGTTTAATGCTTTTATAATCTAAGCATCACAGGTAAAACCTTTAATGAAAAAAATCAATGTCCGTCTGATCTATCTAATTCTACATTAATATTTTAATCAGTTATATGCTTCAATAATTTTTTATTTGCGATATATAGATAGTGACATAGTCAAATATAGTTAAAAATGCGGTTTCCCTGCCACAGAGTAGTGCTAGTTTAAGATAAAGAGACAAATGCAAAAAAAAAAAAACGAAAAACAAAAAAATAAATTTTTAATGTACTACATGAATACTTTGTTGTTTATTTTTATTACAAAATTTATATTACATTAGTTACCATTCCGTTTATGCAATAAGTTTAATATTGCTGAGCATGAATTTAAAGCCGCCATCATAATGATTAAGTATTCAACAGGAATATTTTTCAGTTTTTGTATTTTTATTATTTAATGTATAAGTATTTATAAATTTATATTTATAGGTATATTATATAATATGTATATAGTATATAAATTCAACTAAATAGCGTCAAGGTATTTTATACCGAAACCTAATATCTATATACATAGTATGAAATTGTATCGGCGTATGTATAAAATATAAGTGTAGCAAGATCAAATCAAATTAAATCGAATTGAAAAGTGAAAACAAAAATTATGTTTTGAAGAATAAATTAATTTAAGTGCTAAAATATTATAATGTATTATAATATATATTTATACATATAGGTATGTATATTTTTATAAGTTCCTAAATATATGAATATAATGTTGTAGGAGGACGATGGATATCATTATTCATTATTTTCCATATTATATGAGTGAACCCATACAAAAAAAAAAAATTTCTGTTGTTCTTTTTTTTTTGGTTTTCTGCACAAATATTTAATATGCGTGAAAGCAAGACAAAGGGTTGACATAGGGCGTTAAAGTTATGATAATATCATAAAAAAATTATTCAGGTCATTAAAGAAAAATGTTTGTGTATTATGTACCATTTTATGGACTTAGTCAGAGAAAAGGAATTTTTTGTGAGAAAAACTTGTAATATGCTACACAAGATCTTTGTATAAATATTAAATAAACATTTTTGAAAAAAAAAAACATTTTATTTTCAAAATTTGTACACACAACACTCATATATGCAATATTTTTATACCTCTGAAACCTAAACTAATAAGAAAATAAACAGAAAATTATAATCTTTGTTAATTTATAAACAGTGCAATAATATTTATATTTGCTTTTTTTTTTGCATTTAATATGCAATATGTTGAATATCTTTGCACGCAAGTTATAAATCAAAACAAGTTCATGTAGGTACAGAGAAAAGAAAATTTTGAAATGTTTATGTGTATTTTTCCATTTATTGTTTAATCTTTACAGATCATTGAACTAGAATTGACATTAAATATTAAATTGGAATTAATTTTAAACATTGAACTCTATAAAACTTTTAGACAAAACTATTAAAATCATGTGAATTACGAGTATATGATTTTTTTTCTCAATTATATACCTACACTTTTAACGGAACTGCTAATAAATACATAGATATGTTAAATTTTCATTCAGACTTCTAATGTAGAAGATTATTTTCCATATTTTATATTTGAATATACAATCTGAACTTGTACGCATTGTACATCTGTTAAATTTATTTTTAGAGTTTTATATAAATAGTTTTGTTTTTTTCTGAATACTATGAATACGGAAATAATTTCATGGTAAATGTATTTTCATGGTAAAATTATATTAAATATCTTTATTTAGTTAATATTAAATTTTAATATTTGAAAAATGTTAATATTATTTAAACAAATATGATCAACAAGAGTTAATAAAATTAAATTATTAAATTTGCATAACTAAACAAATATGTATGTATGTATAATATGTGCGAGCATACAAATAATAATTTTTCTTATGAAGTAATGAAGAAATTTATAAATTTATTTTATACGCATTTTCTTGTATAGAAATGCGAGAAAGAATAATAAACGAAAAGAAAAATAAATAGTTATAAAAAAATGTACGAATATTATTATAGAAAAATAAAAAAAACAAAAATACACTATACATAGTAGTGTATACTTTGGTAACCTTCAACTTTAAAATTTTGTTGAAGAAGATTTGAAGGAAAAAACGCAATAAAATTTAAAAACCACATCAACATCGTGTCGCATCACATTGCATTGCAACTAAATATTTTCTTCTATCTCTAAAGTAATACATATAAACTTACTGACTATATTATGCTTTTATCATAGTTTATTAGTTAAATTAAATTTATTTAATAATAGTAGTTTTTCTTTTATATTTTTTTTATTTTCTTCTATAGTTTTTTATTACTTTTACTTACTTTAGTCTTCACGTATTCATTTAGCATTACTACTAACCTGTTTTTAACTTATTTTCATGCGATCACTAAAGAATTTTTGATTTTTCTTTAATTTTGTTTTTATTTCAAAAGAATTTTTTTACTTGCAAATTTAATTTTTAAAAGAAATGGTGAAAAGTAATTTGAAAATATTTTTACTTGGTTTTATCGACTACTTATTAGTTTGGATTTTGTGCCATAGAGCTGTAAGGTATGATTCCATTAAAAAATTATTAACACTTGATATTCCTTAATCAACCTTTTATAGCTTTCAGAACACAATTTAATTTGAAATTTCATAATGAATTTGAAATGATGAGTCCCCGCCTGCGACTTGGGAAAGTTGCGCTACATTATCGTTGTTATTATTAAAGTTTACTCTTTCTCTTGAATTTCTTTACTCCTTTTCCTGAGTTGTATTATATAATTAGATTAGTATTGTTGTCAGAAAAATTGAAATTAAAATTGTTGTCAGTGTTGTAGAAATAAATAATTCATTTTTTTTCTAATATTAGTTTCCTTTATTTGAATTAATTTGAAGAAAATTCATTTAATGCTTGATTTAAATTAATATAATTTAATTAAATAATATATTATTAATATTTTACACCACAATAATATAGTCAATTTTTAAAAATATTTAGAATTTAAATTTTTATTTTCTTTTTTCCAAGATTACACAAATTTCTACTTAAAATTAAAGGACACAAAAATTTATCATTTGGTACATTTTAAACCAAAAGTATATTAAAAAGAATGAAAAACAAGAAATTTATTTTAAGTAACTATTTTATTTTTTCTTTTTGCTTGATTAACCGGCTTATAACGGAATGTATTATATAATTTCGTTAAAAATAATATACACAATATTTTAAAATCTTAATGCAATTTCTTATTTCAACATAATTGCAATTTTACTTAGAAATTAAAGAGTAATACCATTTTTATTGAGGAAATGTGATTTAAAAAATTTTTCATTGCAAGAGTATAATGATTAAAACTCACATCAAACTTGAGAAGAAGAATAATTTCACTTCAGAGTAATTTTTCTGTTTTATTGCATATAAATAGGAGGAGAATAAAATATTAGCGTAAAACTTAATATAAATTATTGAATTGGATGAACTTTTTTTCAATTTAGAAGGAAATTGGGGTTTTACTATTCTAATCAAAATTGTCAACTTTTTATCATGGAGGGACGAATGCTGTGGGAAGTAAATTTGGTAAAGTGGAAAGTCAGACAGTATGGAACTACAAATAAGTATTTTTTAATAGTTCTTAATCCAGCAGAGCTTTTTATGAGAATTCAGTTGATTCGTTTACCCAGTTACTTCGCCAATCATGAAACTACCATTTAAAAATTTTGTTTCATTACATATATTTTTTCTAATACAAAATTTTTTTTCTAAATTTTTCTCTTATTCGCCTGAAATGAATGTATCAGGACAAGGGCTATAGTGTTACCGGCAATTTTTATTTTTGTAATAACTTTCTTTAAATAAAGTTTTCAAATTATATATCTATACGTGAATATGAGGATTATATCACATTAAAATCATTTTAAATAGGAGAACTGAAACATTCACAATTTTTTATTGAGTATTTATGCTTTATGATCTACTATTCAACCTAGTCCTTCAAAATGTTGATTAATACATTCATATTTTCACATTATTTAAATTTTTTCAAAACTGAAAATGTAGTTTTATACAATATACAAAGTTATGATATGACCACACAAATTAGAATTTTTTAATATTTTCTTCAATTAAGTTCCAATTATTAAATGGTTAAACAATTATATTTCACTAGAAAACTTGTTGTGTTTCCCACGTGTTAGGGAATTAAGTTGAATAGTGGATGTTGAAAACAAATTATTCATTACATTATTTTTTTCCAGACTAAATTTTTTTAGCTTGTTGTAAATTGTAGTTGTTAAACATAATTTTCTAACCGAAGTTGTCATTTTTTATAGTTGTCTAGTAAAATTTTTGGAACAAATCATACACTTTTTT